GGTTACATTACATGTAACATGTTCACATGATCCCTCCGTTACATATAGCATGTTCACATGATCCCTCCGTTACATATAACGTGTTCACATGATCCCTCCGTTACATATAACGTGTTCACATGATCCCTCCGTTACATATAACGTGTTCACATGATCCCTCGGTTACATATAGCATGTTCACATGATCCCTCGGTTGCATGTAACATGTTCACATGATCCCTGTTTTACATGTAACATGTTCACATGATCCCTCCGTTACATATAGCATGTTTACATGATCCCTCAGTTACATATAGCATGTTTACATGATCCCTCTGTTACATGTAGCATGTTCACATGATCCCTGCATTACATGTAACATGTTTACATGATCACTCCCAGTAACAGAGTATTATCATAACCACCAACCATCATCCCAGTAACAGAGTACCATCCTAACCACTGTCACAGCACCGCCGTGTACTCACCTGCCCCAGGGCGCCCGCAACACCCTCGCGGCAGTCGCGGTACTCGCCGCTCCTGGAGGCCCCCCTCCAGGGTCCGCGGCGGCTTCTTCTGTCACTCGGCGAGTACGCCGTTGCGGCAAGATGGACCAGGCATTCTGCACAGGGAGGAGAGCTGCAGATCTATAGGGGAGGAACAGGTCAGGGACTATGGTGTAAAGCAAGATGGCGCCGAGTCCCTGACCTCTTTATATAGCTCCTGTGTGCTCCACCTACTGGTGGGAGGTGGCCAGTTATGTGATCCTAGCTACCTATTTAAACCCAGCACACCTTCCAGTCAGTGCTCGGTTATTTTGCTTGTCTCTATATACCAGCCTATTGCCCTGATTGGCAGCCTATGTGCCTGGTTCCTGATCCTTGATTCTCTGGTTGATTATTCTTGTCTGCTTCCTGACTTCGGTTTGATCAACTACTTCTGCCTGCTGCGTGACTGCGGTTTTCTTTCTATGTTCCCTGCTCCTGTTTCCGGTGAATCTTCATTTGGCTACTTCCCATTAAAGGCCTCCACGCCAATACAGACCCTCTGGGACCCTGTCTCCACTTCCAGGTGCTCCTGAGGGTCGTGATAGTAAGGGAGTGCTGTTCCGCTGCAGTTGGGTTCCATCAACTGTGCAAATTCCCCAGGTGGGTGTGACAACCACCAACTACCATACCTGTAACAGAGTATTATCCTAACCACCAACTACCATCCCTAACCACCAACTACCACCCCAGTAACGGAGTACTATGCTAACCACCAACTACCGTCCCAGATACGGAGTATTATCCTAACCACCAACTACCATCCCTAACCACCAACTACCATCCCAGTAACGGAGTACTATGCTAACCACCAACTACCGTCCCAGTAACGGAGTACTATCCTAACCACCAACTACCGTCCCAGTAACGGAGTACTATCCTAACCACCAACTACCGTCCCAGTAACGGAGTACTATCCTAACCACCAACTACCGTCCCAGTAACGGAGTACTATCCTAACCACCAACTACCGTCCCAGTAACGGAGTACTATCCTAACCACCAACTACCGTCCCAGTAACGGAGTACTATCCTAACCACCAACTACCGTCCCAGTAACGGAGTACTATCCTAACCACCAACTACCGTCCCAGTAACGGAGTACTATCCTAACCACCAACTACCGTCCCAGTAACGGAGTACTATCCTAACCACCAACTACCGTCCCGGTAACAGAGAACCATCCTAACCACCAACTACAATCCTAGTAACAGAATATTATCATAACCACTGTGACAGAATGGGTACCTCTGTCAATTGCTGTTTCCTAGTACTTCCAAGCACCATAAGCACCGTACTGGACAAAAAGACTAGGATCCAGCTTCCAATGGGTAGTCCAGAGAGCATAGCAGGAACAGCTCTTAGAAAAGCTAGTGATGATACTCAAGGGAGTATTGTGATATAGCAATCCCCAGAGTGTATGTAGTTCTCCCCCAAACATGAGCCAAGACTTCATGAAGAGGTAAAGTATCTCATTTTATGGGAGCCACAGCAGGCTTTTTATGCAAGTCCCCAAGCAAGGTGTACACCCACATGGACCTTGTTGGGGACAGGGACACAAAGCTTACAAACAAATCATAACAGTAACTAGCAAAGCTACAATTTCTGGGGAAATTGTGTAAAGTGTTCTTGCCTCCACTAGTAGTCTACAACTGGAGTGGGCGGAGTAACTGTTATTATTTATATAGCACATTTAATTGCAACGTTGCTGTCCAAAGTGCTTCACAGTTACATTAAACCATACATTTATAAAAACATTAGCAGGTGTACAAAAGGCCCTGTCTATGACATCACTTGCTGCTCCAGCCTGGCACAGGTCAGAGTATTTTGGCGGTTGCCATCTTCAAACAGTCATATTTTAAAAACTATACATCCTACAGCGAAGAGCTTTATATTGTGAGAATCACAAGACCCAGACCTACATTTTGATGCATAGTATGTGTCTGAAATATTAACAATGAAGGCACAGTCACAGTTTAGAAACTACCCTTCAAATTTGAGCTGGCTAGAGTGGAGTTTCAATGAATGTCAATGGACGGCGTGAGTTGCAAACAAATGGTCATATTGTAAAAACTATCAGGACTATGGCTTAGCCATGGACATGTTTAGTGGCAGCAGGGATAGCTGAACTTTTTGATATAAGATTTGTGTAGGTGGGCTTGAAAATGAGGGAGTGGTGGCAGTTTAGAAATCATGTCCTGATTTTTCAGCTTTTGCTAGCTCCCACTCTAGTTTTGAACATTTCGCCATTCATTCCTATGGGACTAATTTCGCCACAAGAATGACGATATTCCGTGAACCATTCGGCAAAACGTTCCACAAAGTAATAGCACACCAATCGGGAACAATTTGCACGTTTCGGTATATTACTGTCTATGTAGTGTAAAAACTGTAGAGGAGTTAGGGTGGTAAATTTGGCTATAATAATAATAAGAATAATATATATGTGAGATAACATTAAGTGGTCTTGCTATGCAAGAACACTTAATAATAACATATGTGAGATAACATTAAGTAGTCTTGCTATGCAAGAACACTTAATTAAAGGTATGACACTCCCATAACAAACATACAATCCCTCCCCTCTGCCTGTGAGATAATTGAGTCAGATACTGTATTAACCCAATTATCTCCAGGCAGAAAAAAAACAAATTTTACAAACCCCCAAAAGTACCCCAAAATATATATATATATATATATATATATATATATATATATATATATATATATATAAAATCTCCCCTGATCTGTGTGACCAACATATCCAAAAATCACCCATATCAGTTCAGGAATTTCCTGGAAGTCTTGTTTTTGCCCAAAACAGTTCCAGAGAATTAGGGCTAAGATCGGTCTCTCCGTCTGGAGTACAAAAGTACATACTTCACATGAACAGAGCCTTTTAAAGTGCATTGAGCAAGGTATATTGCAGGGTCCATAGTCCTGAGGCAAGAGGCTGGCCAGCAGGCCCCTCCAAGAACCCTTGATGAGGTTGTTTGTCACAAGGCCATAGAAGGCTGGCAAACAAGCCCCTCCAAAAGCCAGTGACGAGGTTACTTTCGTCACATATCTTCCCTCCCAAGGGGACACTAACCAGGTACCTGACCTCCTGTCAGTCGGTACCTGAGTTAGTCGGGCAACCCACCCACAACCAAGTACTTGAGCTGGAGCTCTTGGGTGTCCAGCTTTGTCCTGTCTGTCTCATACTGCAGAGGGGGCGTTTGGTACCCCTGGTCTCTCGGTTGCGTTCCGGTTTGCAGTTGGGCACAAGGGGAGGGCAGTGGCCAACTATATTATAATGACTGTAACTATTAATATCACAGTATAATGATATATAATGACTGTGGCAAAACTAGCCACTTCAGTATGCAAGAACTGCGTTTATTTGACTATTTCCATCTGTAAAGACCATGTGCATTCGTATGGTAAATACACAAACAGAAGAAGAATATACGGTTTGTTTAAACGAACAAACTGCCGAATGGAGGACCACACAAGGGAGTCGTGTTCCTCCAATTAACAACTGGCAACATCGAGGAAACCGCAAAACCCTAATGGTTTAATGGGTGGCCACCGTTCATATGAACGAACACGTGGCGACGGCCATCTTTGCTCACAAACGCCCAGCAGTGTTTGGTCGTCGAGTGCATGGAACTAAAATTGGTTACTCAACCTCGTGAACACCACTGTACTTCCATGCCGTTGGTACAGATAGACCAGGTCGTCTAAATAGAGCGACGTTTGGTTAATTGAAACCCACAAACTTCCTATACCCAACTAGCACATATGATGATATGATATATAGTGACTGTAACTCCATTAAAGGACCACTATAGTGCCAGGAAAACATACTCGTTTTCCTGGCACTATAGTGCCCTGAGGGTGCCCCCACCCTCAGGGTCCCCCTCCCGCCCGGCTCTGGAAGGGGGTAAAAACTTACCTTTTTCCAGCACCGGGCGGGGAGCTCTCCTCCTCCGTTACGCCCCGTCGGCTGTATGCGCACGCGCGGCAAGAGCTGCGCGCACATTCAGCCGGTCTCATAGGAAAGCATTTACAATGAAAATCACAGTGAGAAGCACGCAAGCGCCTCTAGCGGTTGTCAATGAGATGTGTCGTCCCCCCCCCCAGCGGCCGGAGATGGTATGTCCCGCCCCCCCCCAGCGGACGGAGATGGTATGTTCCCCCCCAGCGGCCGGAGATGGTACATGTTCCCCCAGCGGGGCCGGAGATGGTATGTTCCCCAGCGGCCGGAGATGGGTATGTTCCGCTCCCCCGGCGGCCGGAGATGGTATGTCCCTCCCGCGGCCGGAGATGGTATGTCCCTCCCCAGCGGCCGGAGATGGTATGTGTTCCCCGGCGGCCGGAGATGGTATGTCCCTCCCCCAGCGGCCGGAGATGGTATGTTCCCCGGCGGCCGGAGATGGTACATGTCCCGCTCCCCCAGCGGCCGGAGATGGGTATGTCCCCCCCCCCGGCGGCCGGAGATGGTATGTCCCGCCCCCCCAGCGGCCGGAGATGGTACGTCCCGCCCAGTGAGAGCACCAAGATGGCGGCGGTTGTCTGTGCCCTGCACGCGGCCGCCCTGGCATGGTATGTGTTCGGTCTCTGGCAGAATGTGCAGGTTACCGGCTCCACCCTGGGACACGGGGCTCACACGTATGGGGGGCGATGGAAATACCTGACCTTCATCAACCAGGTGAGAGCAGGACCCCCTGTGACATCACCAGAGTGACCTCACCCTGACCCCTGTGACATCACCAGAGTGACCTCACCCTGACCCCTGTGACATCACCAGAGTGACCTCACCCTGACCCCTGTGACATCACCAGAGTGACCTCACCCTGACCCCTGTGACATCACCAGAGTAACCTCACCCTGACCCCTGTGACATCACCAGAGTGACCTCACCCTGACCCCTGTGACATCACCGGGTGACCTCACCCTGACCCCTGGGACATCCGTCAGAGTGACCTCACCCTGACCCCTGTGACATCACCAGAGTGACCTCACCCTGACCCCTGTGACATCACCAGAGTGACCTCACCCTGACCCCTGTGACATCCGTCAGAGTGACCTCACCCTGACCCCTGTGACATCCGTCAGAGTGAC